CGCAGGGCTCTGTACGCCAGTGCTAACTCAACACATCGGTTGATTGAATTCTCGTCCGTGAACCAGGCTTCGATAAATTCCCGACCCATCTTGTTTCCGACCTGGGCGAGCATTTTGACGGCCGCAAAGTTGAACTCATGGCCTGTTTCACAGGTATGCGCTGCAACTTGTGATAATTCGTCGCCTTGTCGTAACGCAGACTAAGTTCCATGAAAGTGCGATCCAAGCATGCATTCAGTTTGTCCTGTATAGTTACAAGGAGAGCTTAAGCATGGGATGCGCTACACTACCCCAGATTGTACATTTGGTTTCATCACCCTGCTGAGGATCGTAGCTTTAGTTCTGTGCGCAATTCCAACACCTTATCCCGCAGCGGTGTGCTCGGTCGCTTCTAAGACATCCTTGATGTATGCAGAGCCTGCCATATTCTCGGTGGTTCTTCTGTTTGTGTCCTCCGAGGGCGAATACGTAGCCGTTGGTTTTAAATGCTTTCGGATAACCACATCGAATGAACTGATCAGGAAGATATCGGGCTTCGCAAACTCTTTCCTCTAGCCTACTGCATTGAGTCTGAATCGGCTTAAAGAGCGTTTTTACACAGCTTCGTTTGTGGGCTACTTGATGGTTGCAGTAAAAACTGAGATATCGTGTTGTGTTTGTTGCCTTCCTGTAAACCGTCATCTCGATTTCGCCGTTGGAGATTCTCTTGACGAGTAAATCAAGGAAAGACAGCTGCTGTTCTTGCTCTTTCTTCCTCGTGAATTGTACGTCAAGGAAGATTCCATAGAGAAAGTTATGGAAGTTTTGCAGCATGTTCCTGTTGATGATAATAGACGTGTCGTCAACGTAACGACCCCAAAAGACAGGCTTGTGTTGGGTGAAAGCGGTGTGTTCTAGTACTTGTAGGACTAGTTCTGCTATTAAGTCGGAGATCGGGGACCCCATCGGAGTTCTTTCGATCTGTTCGTAGGTTTCTCCAACAAAGGTAAAGGACACTTATGGCAAAATTCGAATAGTCTCAAATGTGTTCAGTTTTGAGTGGGATTTGAGCCTCATCATATGCCTCGTCAAGTCTTGTACGGCGATTTAGAGCTATGGATGTGAATAAAGCGGTTAAAGCGAAGGAGACCATGATTTCGTCCGATTGGATCGTCCGACCTCAAAGGTCTGCGAGGAATCGAGAGGCCGATTGAACTGAGCTAGTCGAGTTGCCTTGGAGGAATCTTAGCCCTCTGTACATCCATTTTCCAAATTATAAGTAGGGTTGCCTTTAAGGGCAACGATTGGCTGCAGTGGGACATATGCTTTGTGAACTTTTGGTATACCATAGAATCAAGCCAGGGTGGTATCTCTTACTTTTATTTAGTGCCACTTGGTCATCGTGATCACGTTCTTGCGCCGGTATTCTCTGAATTGTTCAGTCAGTCGGCTGGATAATGCTTTGGCTTATGAGTTCACTGCTGCTCTGTAAAATTCTTTATCGTCAAGAAGATTCTGAGCTTTCTCATTGTAGTCCTGTCGATTAATCACAACAGTCGACCGTCCCTTAAGAGCCTGCAAGATGATAATAATATCATCTTTCCTGAGTTCCTTCATGGCTTTCTACTCAATCTGCGAAATGCATCGGATTGGTTTATGAGCCATTAGCAAGGAGGTCAAACGTCGGATCGAGGGTTTTGTGTCGTCAGTGTCGTCACCAGCATCGCTTCTAATGCTGCTATAAGTCAACTGGGTCAGCGACTGCGGTGTTAAAACAGGCAATTGATTTGGTATAGATTACATTGCATT